CACCCATCTTCACCAGCATTTGATGTCCTTTGTTCTCTTCTCCGAGCCTGGAGTCTGGTATGGGAGGCGCTGAATTAGAACCCAGGCCAGCTGCGGAGCTGGAATCAAGGGAACCATTGGTAAGCCAGTGACCCCTACAATGGGCCTTAGAGCACTGTCAACAGCCAGTTAAGCCAGTAGGAAAGGGCCTGTGGGCTGTCCCAGTTGGTCTGAGTGATGTCACCTGCCCTTTAGCAACACTGAATGCCCCACACCAGTGGCTTACGGTGGGGTGGGGCTCCTAGACCTGGAGCGTCGCCGCCTCCCCGGGGAATAAGACTTGGACCTGGATCTGGACCTGGAGCGCGAGCGGCTTCTGGAGGAGCGTGATCGGCTTCGGCTTCTGTGGGGACAGTGGGACAATGGGGGCCTGCAGGAGCTGCCAACTTGGGCTTTCCAATGCCCCCACATGCCTACCTGGACCTGGAGCGGGAGGAGGAGCGGGACCGGGACCGTGAGCGGGACCGTGAGGAGGAACGTGAAGACTTCGAGGAGCGTGAGCTGGAGCGTGATGATGAGCGACCTCGGCTCTTGGACCTGCTGCGTGACCTGGAGGGGCCGCTGCAGGGGAAATGCCACAATGAGGATGGCCACAGTTGGGAACAGCACACCACATGGCTGATGCCATGAAACCCGCCCAGCTCACCTGTTCCTCTTCTCCTGGCCCTTGCGCCGCCTAGCCCGCATCTTGGCTCGGAAGAACTCGTAGAGGCCATTCTGCTCCCAGCCCTCACTGTAAGACAAGGTCCCCATTGAGAGACCTGGGACAGTCCCCAGGGGCCATAATGGGCAGGGAAGAAGCTAACTAGGAAGCTGCTGGGGCTCTCGTGTCCAGAACTTCCCACTGGGAGGACCTGGTGGGCAGCCGAATCCCAGGTGACCTCATAAACATGCCCATTGCTGTTCTTAGTGGCTGCTGGGCCAAGGCTGCATGGCACATGGCCAGTGTTCCATGCCCAGCATCTGAGAGTAACACATAGAGTGTTCGGAGGATCTAGCTCCTCACCTGCAAGATGACTAGGACGGGGGACTCAGTCAGGCCTGGGGCCCAGTCTCCCTACCTGTTCCTCGGCCTGTCGTGGGAGGGTGGGCTGTAGAAGGCCTCCACAGCTGCCAGCAGCCTCTCGCTGGGTGGCATGGGGGGTGGCAGGCGGATGTCTTTGGGGTCCAGAGGTTTGTACTCGTGGTCCTCCAGCTATAGGAGAACAAAGCTGTTGCCTGTGCCCTGCAGAGCCCTCCCTGGCCACCCAGTGGAAGACAGCAAGGCAGGAACCTGGCCTGACAACACCAGTATGCCCCTTCCTCCCATCCCAAACTACGGCCCCTACCAGTGGACCCAGAGTCACCTTCACAAGGGGAGCCATTAACCCTGCTGGAAGATCGAAGTAGGGCACATTGGGGACCAGGCTGGGGTCATCGTGGTTGATGTGAGGTGGGCCCTGTCGCCGCATGTGGGGGGGCTGGCCATTGAAGCCGTGGGGAGGAGGGCCAAAGTCAGGGTGCTGGGGCCCAGCCCAGGGTGGGTGCTCATTGATGCCAGGGTGTGGCATGCGGTGGCCAGGGTGGTGATGCGGGGGTCCCATCTCTGCAAAACAAAACATTGTCTCCAGCTTGCTGGGGTAGTCAAGTGGGGTAAGAGGGCCAGCGGGGAGGCCTAGAACTCTCATTGATACGGGTGCAGTGAGAAGACTGAAGGACCACTGCTGCACCCAGTGGCAGCAAGCTCAATGTCCACCTCCTCAATGGGAATGTGCTGAGAGCCTTCTCTGCCAGAACCCAAGCACAGGCAAACTAGCAGCTGCCCTCAAAGCTGTAACATCATCACTACCAGGTCTCTGGTGGACTCCAACCCAACTGCCCAGGGTCCTTTGAAAAAAATAGGGAGGACACATGCAGAGAGAGGGAAGCCTTCCCGAGGCCATCCCTGAGGACCCTGTAGTAGGGTGTGGAACTCTACCGCTAAAGCACACCCTTGTCTGTGGCTGCTTTGTGCAGCTCAGGCTGACACGATAACCAAAGAGACACAGGCACAGCCTCAGATGAGCGAGCAGCCAGGGAAGGACAGCGAGGCAAGGGCAGGAAAACAGTGCTGGAAGTACAGACAGACAGGCAAAGTGTGGCTGGCCTGAGTGCGGGCGCAGAGTGAAGGCCACCCTCGTCTGACTATTCTACACCTATCCTATGGCCGTGACTTCTTCAATACTGACAGCCAGGCATGCCTGGGATGATCCCAACAGACCTTCCTACAACCCTACCCACTCACCTGCGGGGAAGTCTCCTTGGGGATAGTCAAAGCGGTGAGGATAGGGTGGCCGCTCAAAAGGGTGACGAGGAGGGAAGTCATCCTGCATGAAGCGTGGTGGGAAGCGGTTGAAGTTGTGGGGGTGTGGAGGCTGGTTGAACTGTGGGTGCTGCTGGTGGGGTGGGAAGGGCCCACGGAAGTGGGGGGGCCGCTGCATCCGGAAAGGCGGCTCACGCTGGGCACCACCCCAGGGTGGTGGCTCATGCTGATTGTTCCATGGTCCTTCAAACTGGTTATTCCAATTGGGGTCCGGCTGGTTGTTCCAAGGAGCATCTCTCTGCCCATTCCAGCCAGGGTCCCCACGCTGCTCACCCCACATGCCCTCATGGCTGTTGTTCCAGGGTGGGCAGTGGGGTGGTCCACCTTGGTGGTGCGGGTATGGGGGCTGCTCTGGGGGCTGCAAGGCAAAGCACAGACATGAACTCAAGGTCTGCAGTTACCTCCCTTTCCTAGGTCCCAACCACCACATCTGCAACCTCACATGTAATGCTGCCTCGGGCCACTGCAAACAGGACCAAGTATGTCCCTCCCCCAGGCCTGACAGGTACCAGATCCCTAGTGGGACACAGCAGGGGTACATCCTGTACCATGCCTCAAAACACCCCTGCAAATTGGGCCACATGCCTTAAAGCCCCTCATCTGTACCGTGAGAGCCCTCTCGTCCAAAACATTGTCTGAAGTAGCCTGGAACACTTGTTCTTGTTTCTTTAAACAGGACAACAGCTGCACGTGGTTCAAGATGTTCCCAGCTACTGACCACTTGTAACATGGATGGCAGACTTTTTTAGGTTGGCACAGGAGAGGCCAACAGGTCCTCCACCACCCGCAAGGCCTAGCAGCAAGCTGCATGATCCACACCAGGTTGCTAGAGTGTTCTCTCTTCTAGCTTCCAAAAGAAGCTGAAGTTGGATTCCCAATAACAGGAATGATTTCTAAGGTACCATGAAGGCGAGATTAGAAGCCTGGTCAGCTCCAGGCTTTTTTTAATTGGGGGAAGGGAGTTGTGGGTGCCGTTCTATTCTAGTTCCAGGATAGCCTGGAATTCAATCCTCCTGCCTTAGCCTTCCAAAGACTGGGATTAGAAGCCTGCCCCTTGGCCTGGCTTTATCCCCCCCATACATCTTACTGAGCCTGCACAGACGAAGTCTGTCACCCACCTCCCTCAAAAGTTCCCATGTGCCCACCCAGTGGGCTCATAGCCCACACTGAGTCATGGGTGTTGTCTACATGGAGTCTGCATTTCTTGTCAAGTAACCCTGATGCTGCCGAGGGGTGTTGAGATTCAGATCTGAGACCTGTAGTTCTCAGCCCAGAGCCACAT